GGGCCTATCGCGGCGCCGCCTTCCGCCCTGCTCCCGATGTTGGGCGTCACCCTCGCCGCCGTGAGTGAAGCTAGGCGGGTGACATCCTGCGGACTCTGAAGGGACGATTGGGTTAAGTGGACACTGCTGCTCGGGATCGGCACAGGACGGGGTGCTTCACGGAAGGAAAAAACCCATATTGTTCAGATTTGATCAGATGAATCCTCTTGGCATGGAGGAGATGCTCCTAAATCGGAAGAAATTTGCTTAGAATGTGAAAGCGATGAGAACAGAAGACAGCAAGGAGCAGCACTTGAATGTCTTGGGAATAGATTTTAATTTCTTGCACAGAATTGTGGAAGGGGGGGCCTTTCCAAAGGAGCTTATTCTAGAGTTAGACATCTTCCCATATCCATTGAATTTGACAAGGAAACTAATCCCGGAGAAAATCAGTGATTTGCTTAAAATGTTTGTTTCTAGATTCGTAGTTCACTCGTTACTTTTTTTTTAAAGTTGCTTCTACTGAATTTTGAAGAAGTGTTTTTTAAATTTTATTATAGAGTTGCTTTACGTAGTTACTGTACTGGTAGTACTGGAGATTGCTAAGTATGCAACATTTCTTTTTTCTAAATGTTCCTTTCTTAAGTAACTACTTTTCATTTTGTGGCAACATTGTTTCTGATTTATAAGTGAGCAACTTTTTTTTTCCGTCGCGAGGGTGGAACCCAAGGCTTTTTGTATGCATGGATGGAACCATGCCCCTAGCCAGAAGTTACTTTTGAAAACTTAATTAATTAATTAATTAATTTATTTTGGTACCGGGGATCGAACTCGGGTCCTTGCGCTTGCGAGGCAGGTCACCGAACCGCTGAGCTAAATCCCCGGCCCTCCTTTGTATTTTTCACACTGTCATAAATCAGGGTTTTGTAAAATATAGCAAAGAAAAGAGTAAGATTAAAAGAAAAATTATTTCTTTAGCAACAGTCCTAGCTCTTGATGATCACATGGATTTCCTTCAGTAAAGCAGGTCTATTCCAAATGACAGTTATAATAGAGTAGGTGGTGGGTATGCTTTTTTCCTTCCAACGTTTTTTTTTTTTTAATTGGCTAACTAAATTATAGGCACATAGTTGGTTTTCAGTAAATGTTGACTGAATTAGATGAGAACATTTATTAAGCAGGATTTTTGGTATCACAGATGTCTAAAATATATTACAGTTGCAATGAAGCAAGGCATTTCATTCTCAATTAACTTTACATCTTTTTTGAATATTGCTACATATGTTTGCTAATATTTTCAAAACAAAATAATATACAGCCATTAACTTTAAATGAAAGAATGGGCAAAGCGTAGTGATAGAAATGTGTTTTTGTATAAGTCGTAGGAAAAATTTATTTTTTTTAGTTTGTCTTCTGTTTTTTTTTTAAATCTTACTAAGTTTATTGGTAATTTTAAAGTATACAGTACAATTACATTCATCATTGGGGTCTTGTACCCTTACATGACTGATCTTGGTTCTCATTTTTTCCCCACACCCCTGCCCTCCCTTCATCCCCTCCACCCTTCCCTATTTACAGAGACTTTGTTTCCATTTTTTCCTTTTCTCATATTTTTTCTTGTCCCTTATTTCCTTTACCCTACCCTTTCCACTTCCCCTATATCTTTAGCCCTTTGTGTAGGAAAAATTTAACTTTTTTTTTTTGGTACCGGGGATTGAACTCAGGTCCTTGTGCTTGCAAGGCAGGCCACCGAACCGCTGAGCTAAATCCCTGGCCCATGTGTAGGAAAAATTTAAAAGCTGCTTTTTAATATTTAGATACCGTCTAAAAAAGACACCTTGGGACAACTTATAAAAGAGTTTTATTTCTTGACATTTTCCTTTAAAGTTACGACATCTTCCTTTAAGGAAGTTAGTTTGGTATTTTCTTTCAGATAGGGTATCTATGAAAACAGAAAAGAGTATGAAGTGTTTTAAGACCCTTGTAAAAAGTATACCCATCATCTACGTAGAACTAAGATGTTGCCAAGATAGTTGAGTCCCTCGGGGTCACATTTTCCTATCTTCTACTTTCCCCCTCACATGTCCCTTTCTAGCCATAAATATGCCTTGCGTCATCTGAACATTTTATTCATGTGGTATTCTGCATTCTGTTTTCTTTAGTTTGCTTTTGTTCAAGATTTTGTTTTTCTTTTTGCGACAGGGTAGTTCATGCTGGTTTTGAACTCACAGTGATCCTCTGTGTTAGTATCACAGGCATGCACCACCCTAACCAGCTTGTTTGCACAAGATTTTGCAGGCTTAATCTTGATAGGTTTATATGTTGATCCCTGGCTACTACTTTTTTCTTCCGTAGTTTTACCCCAGAAACACTTATTGAGGACCAACTATGTGTCAGGTGTTGTGCTGCCTGCTAAGGATGCACAGGTAAACTTGGCTGAAAATGTACAGTAAGGTTCTTAATCACTTACGAGAGTCTGTAGAGGCCTCAGAACCAGAGCAAGGTGCCCGGTAAGGGCTGTGGTGGAGCACTTGCCTGCATTTGATTCTCCCTTCCCTGGGGGTCCTGGGGGGTTACCTGGCTCTGTGCTTGTGATAGAACCAGAGCCTCGCACACACCTGGTGAGCCACTACTGAGCCATACCGCTTGCTCTGATTTGTTTAGAAATTTGAAACTCTAGTTAGTATTGGAGTAATAATAATTAGCTAAAATAATGCTCATGAAATGACAAATTAGCCACTCATGATTGATGTCAGCTCTTTAGATAAAAGGCTGATATTTGTTTTTGATGTTTGGCGTTTTTTTTCAGTGTAACTTTTTAAGAGATGTTTAATCATCATAGATAAAACATATCTGACTTATCTCCCTGCTTACACACAACAGGCTAATAGGAATCGTAATTGAGGGATTTGTGTTGGAAAAAAATGGTAATATGTACTTTAAAATCTTGATATACATTTTAAAACATTGTCTGAAATTACTTTTTTTTTTGTTATTGGGGATCGGACTCGGGACCTTGCACTTGTGAGGCAGGTGGCGGAACCACTGAGCTAAATCCCCGGCCCTGTCTAAAATTAACTCTATATCACTGATAATCTTATTGTAAAGGTATTTCCTCTCTGGTATGAGCTCGGGATCTTTATTAAGAACTGAAGTTAATATTATTGCATTCTCTTTGTAACTTTGTGCTTTAACCATTTATTTTTATAGGATTTCTATAATTGGCCTGATGAATCATTTGATGAAATGGACAGTACACTTGCTGTTCAGCAGGTAATAAATAGTTTCTTTCACAACTCCCAAGAACCTAGGCATTTTACCTCTTTGGCATAGTTAAGTATTTCTATATTTTTTAGTAGAAACCAGATTCCACTATTAGTGGAATGCCCATCTAAACTTCAATGGTCTCATTTTGTTTTAATATGGTGTATTAAACTGTAAACAGGCCTAGTACATTTTATATCTGTTATTATGTACCAAATTAGGGTACCAAATTTGATCTTATAATGAACTTAACTCATAACTGATAAATTAGAGTAGAAGATAATTAAATAGAAGGAAATAGCATGACTATTTGGTGATGAAAACCCCTGATAACATGTTGTAAAGATCTGCATCTTCATTTTAGTTAATCATTAGTTCTTTTTGTTACCATTAGTTCTTTTATCCTCCTCCAGTATATCAGGGCGGATCAAATATTTGGTGTTTAATTTTTTAAAAGATGCACTACAGCAAAAGGTACATTGCCATTAATTCTCCTCACAACACTTCCTCTCACTGTAGACACACTCATCCCATCATGGTTGCCACTTTCCGAGGCAGTTCAGCAAGTCTTTCGTGAGTGTCTTTATAAGGTGTGATCAGAAATACAGTGAGTCTACTGCCAAGTCCCATCCAGTAGAAAGAGAGGCAAGCTCGTAAGGTCAAGGTGGCATGTCCTCATGCACCTTACCACCAGATCTAGCACCTTGTGACTCCTGGCTCTTCTTCAGTCAGATTGACCATGAGAGGGAAGTGTTTTGAATTAGTTCAGGACGTTGAGGCAGCCACAACAGCACAACTAGACACTCAGGAGAGAGAACTCCAGAACTTTGGCAGTTTTGGTCTTTTAATTTCTACATAGGGTTAATAAAATTACTGTTAGATTTGTGTTTGGATTTAGGTTTACTATTTTATTACTTGTTTTCCTTTTGTTTCCTCTGTTTTTTGTGGGATAAGTGTGTTAGAAGTGAGATAGATTAATGGCAGTGTGTCTTTCACTGTAATGCACTGAAAGATCCTGTGAAAACCTCCAACCTTCACCATACTTTTCGGTCACATCTGGTTGTGAGCACTGAGGTACCCCCTGCAGGCTGCTGGCACTGTTGGCGCTTCTGAGATCAGGGCTCAGGAGATGGGCTCCAGGCACACGCATGGGTCCAAAGTCCTGAGGAGATTCTCAGGCTAAAAGCAAAAAGTGAGAGTTCTCTCTCATTGTGTAAAATCTAGATTTTGGAAACAAGTAGCAGTATTCACAGTTAATTGTTAAAGCTTGCCTTAAGGAGTTAATAAAAAGATGACAAAAATTCAGGTGTATTAGGAGTTGAAGATGTAGCTGGTAATGTTGAGCTTGCCTAGCAAAACTTGTGAGGCCTTGGTACTGGTGATCAAACGTGGGTCCTTGTGCTTTTGAGGCAGGCGCCAGACCACTGAACTTAAATCCCTGGCCCAGGTTTGATCTCTAGCTATACACACGCACATGCACAAGCACATAAATTCTATAAAACAACAACAACAAAGAAAGTAGGTATATTAGGATACTGTATTAGGTAAAGGGAAAGTTTGTGACAAAGTATGACTATTTGGCTTTAACTTTTTTGTTTGTTTTTTGGTTTTTGCTTTGTAGTTTAGGCTAGCTTGGAACTCCCTCTGTAGCCCAGGCTAGCTTGAAGTTGAGGCGATCCTCCTGCCTCAGCCTCCCAAGTAATCCCTGGGATTACTTCTGTGCAGAAGTGTCTCACCATGATTGGTGTAGTTGAGTCATTTAAAAAATTCATTTTAGCAGTTTTGGTCTTTTAATTGCTGTATAAGGTTAATAAAATTATTGTTAATATGTTTGGATTTAGGTTTACTATTATATTGTTTTCATTTTGCTTCCTCTGTTTTTTGTTCCTCTGTCCTTTTGAGGGTATTTGAACATTTTAATTAATCTTTATTTTGACTATATCTTTTCTGTTAGTTTTCCATCACAAGGAAAAAATAACTTGTGTACAACTTGAAGGAGCAAAGGCTTATTTTGGCTCTGAGTTTCAGTGGGTCAGTCCGTGGTAGTCTGGATCCAGGGCAGGCACATCATGATGGAAGAGAGTGGCAGAGGACAGCTGTCACTCACCATCTGGCAGCTGGGAAGCAGAGAGAGCAAGAGGCAGAAGGGAAGGGGTGGAGAAAAAGGTGTGCCTTCAAAAGCTTGCCTCAGTGTGTGCTTCCTTACTCAGCTATGAATGCATCAGTGGAAGTTGCCCTGGTGACCCAGTGGCCTCTGGAGGCCTCACCCCTAAACACTGGCATTGGGGGTCAGTTCTGCATTTCTAGGTCTTTAGGGGGAACTTCTTATTTAAACTGTAGCTTCTTCATATAATTTTCTTGGTGGTTGCTGTAGAGATTGCTAAATATGTATATACTGAGAATCAGTATTTACCACTTCCGCTGAAACATAGACACGTACCCCATCCCTCCCGTGGGTGCCTTTCCTTCCCTGTCTGCTGGGAGAGTTGCCCAGTGTTACGTCTGCATACGTTGAAACCCCATCACATCACATCGCATTATGTTTTCATGCTTTCAACTGCCAGGCATGTTTTACAGAACCTAGAGTGGTCTGTTATATTTATACCCAGGTCTTTTACATTTATAGTTTGTTTTGCTTCTAAAATTCTAAGTTCCTTTCTGTTATTTATTTTTTTCTTTTGTCTGAAGAACTTCCTTTAGCACAGTCTTCTGGCCAGGAATTCTCTTTAGTATTCTGTAATTTGAAAATGTCTTTGTGTCATTCCTTAAGGATATTTGTTAGACACAATTCTTGGTTGACAGTTCTTTTCTTTCAGCACTTTTAAGAATGTGCTATTTTTAGGGTTGGGAATTTAGCTCAGTGGTTCCCCTGCGTCACAAGCTCAAGGTCCCAAGTTCGATCCCTGGTACCAAAAAAACCTAAAACAACAATGTGCTATTCTTAAACCAGGTGTGGTAGAAGTTGCCTATAATCCCAGCAACTTGAGAGGCTAAGGCAGAAGGATCACTTAGTTTGAAGCCATCCTGGGCTACATAGTGAGTTAAAGGCCAGCCTGGACTGCATAGTGAGACCCTGTCTTCAAAAAAAAAAAGTGCCACTTCTTTCTTGCTTCTGAGGTTTTAGATGAGAAAACAGCTATCATTTCAGTTCTCCTGTAGGTCATGTGTCTTAGCTTCTGTATTAGTCAGCTTCACACTACTTACTATAAAGAAGTACTTGAGGCAGTTGACTTATGGAGACAAGGTTTCTTTAGCTCATGTTTCTGGAGGCTCTGGTCCAAGATTGAGGGGAGAGACAGAGACACAAGACCTCTCACTAGTCCCATCACTTCCTAGTAATAAACCCTAACCAAGCCTGCCCACATTGATTGATTGATTGATTTTTGGGTTTTTTGAGTCAAGGTCTTACTCTGTAGTGGAGACTGTCCTTGAACTTGCTGTGTAGTCCAAGATGGCCTTGAACTCATGGCAATCCTCCTGCCTCAGCCTCCCATGTGCTGGGATTACAGGTGTGTACCACCATGCCTGGCTTCAGCCAACCCTGCAACACTTGGACTTTTGGGGATATTTCTCATATTCAAACCAGAGCAGCTTTGTTTTAGTTAGGGGATGTGCTGGGGATCCCATCTTGGGCCTCTGAGTTGTACCCTCAGTGTTTTTTTCCATTCCTGAGGCAGAACCAGAACATTTCTCCTGGACTCCTGTCTTTCAACACCATCATATTCACTTTTGATTTTTATCCCATGTCAAGTTCTGGCCAGGGGAACCAGGAGGGAGAAAAAAACGCAGCAGACTCATTGCCACTTGAGTGGTATTTTGAATTCTGGTATTCTTTTTTGCTCTTCTGGCTAGTTACTTTTTAGACACCTCAAATAGCAGAACCAGATGCACTCTGTCCCTATTTTAAAGTTTCATTCAGTGAGGGAGAAGGATTGATGCTCATTTATTCCATCGTCCCTACTAGAAACAATAAGATGCCTTTGCATGGAGTTCATTGCTGTGTGCTTTCTTGTCCCAAGTTATTTCTACAAACTGCTTTAGGAGTCTTGTATACAATGTAAACAGTAATAGGGTAGCTGGGGATTTACCTCTGGTGCCACTGCCTGCCTCACAAGCACAAGGACCCGAGGTCAATCCCCAGTACCAAAACAAAGCAAAAACAGTAATAGATCATATGGTAAAATATTAAATATCAGATATATTTCTGCTATTTCATGACAGGAAGAAAGATTCCTTCTTTTTATTTAATTGATCTGTCCTATTCCTGTACAGGAGATTTGAAAAGCTTAGGAAATATATATATTCTGGTAGCAACTCAGAAATGTTAGTAGAGCTTGAGCAGGGAAAGTGGTAGTAACTTTTGGAAATGCACTGAAAAAGATTTTCTTTGAGAAATGGTAGTAGATTAAGATTATTTATTTTTAAAGAAAGAAGTATATTTTGGCTCATATTTCAGACCACAGTCAGCTGGCTCCAAGACAGGACAGCGTAGCAGGAGGGCATGGTAGAGAAGTGCAGCTCATGGGATGGTGGAGGGAAATAGAGTGAAGGGAGACGCCGGGGAGGGAGATAAAGCTTTTCAGGCCATATCCCCAGCCCCCATCCTCTTCCTACTAGGCCCCATTTACATCAGAGTCAAGTATAAGTCCTCATAATCCAGTTACCTTCCAAAAGCCCTGCCTATGAGTGCATGAGGCTCTTGGGGGACATCTAGATATAAACCATAATATTCTGTGTCTGGCCCCCCAAAACATTAATGCACATCTCTTTATGCAAAATGCGCTTAGTCCATCTCTTAAGAGTTTGCCAAGGTCCTAACAGTTTCAGCATTTCTGAAAAGTCCCAAGTCCAAAGTCTCCTCTCAGACTTAAGGCAAACTCTCAGCTATATGCTTTCATAAATGTCAAAAAGAAGTTAAAAACTGCCTCCTGCCTCGCAAGTGCATGGTCCCGAGTTTGATCCCTCATACCAAAAAAAAAAAAAAAAAAGTTAAACATTGCCAACCTATA